AGGTTTAAATGCAGGGGCGAGGCGTGCCAGTTCCAGGATAAGGAGGTCAGGGAGACAGATCAGAGGAGGGTGCGCTACCGCAAGAGGAAGACCGACTGGTGGAGCAGACTGGCAGCCGCGCTGGACCCGCGCGTAGCTGAGGCTCAGGCGACGAGGAGGACAACAATTGCAGCAGCTCGAGGAATGTTGCAGGAGGCTAGCAATGGAAGGGGCACCGTCAGCGGGGCGAGCTGCTGCGAGGACGGCAAGGCTGCGCAGGAATATCTGGGGCCCGCGCATCAAAGGGACTCAGAAGGTGGACGAAGGTGCGCTGGAGGGCGCAGCCAAGCAAGCCAAGCTCGAGGCGAAGATCCCCCTTCAGGAATACTGGGGGAAGCGCAAGGGGCTGCGCGCTCTGGATGGCCAACGCGGAGGCCAACGCGCCAGTAGCACTGCGCAGTATCACCATGCCCCGGAGGAGACATGAGGGCGAGCACATCAAAGGAGACAAACAGGCAACAAGCCCAAAAGGGGGGAACGACCTGGAGGCAACGGACTTCGAGGATATGTGGAAGCACAGCAGTACGCATGAAGAGGCGGTGGGGGTGATCAACATGCTAAGGAGGAAAGCAAAGGAGGAGCTGGCGCCAAGGTGGACGCTCGAGGGGTTCGACGAGGCGGTGGAGGGCACCCCCGCATGAACGTGGACGATGCGAGGAGGCTGCCATCGCAAGGCAGACAAGCCATCACCGACATGTGCAACAGCTGCGAAGAAGAAGTTGCATGGCCATGCCAAACGCTGCAAGCGATGATAATGCTACAGCCAAAGGGCGCGGAGAAGGTAGGCGAGACAGCGCTCAGAGGAGGAGGAGACAGAGCGTTGGCGCTGGTCACGTGGTCCGCCAGGGCGGGGGGGGTGCTCAACAGGAACCAGAACACGAAGTGGGCCACTGACGTGGAGGAGGACTTCGGCGCCGCGATCGCAGGCAACTCCTGCCTCAGAGAGGCGATGGCCAGAGCCTTGGGGGATGAGACCTCGCAGGAGCTCGGGGCGCATTCCGCCTGAGCCCTGGTCGACGTCGAAAGGTTTTGCGATTCGCTAGTCTTCGAGAGGGTAGCGAAGAGGGCGTTGGAGCACGGCTTCCCGCCGAGGGTTCTCGCGATGGCCATGCTGCTCCACCTGGCGCCTCGACGGCTCATGGGGGAGAGCGCCTGCACCAAACCGCATGCGCGAGTGGGGGCTTGCTGGCGGGTTCCAGACACAGCAACAGCTTGGCGATGACCCTCATCTACCACGTGGTAAAGTCCATGAGCAGCAAGGCGCAGATGGTAGAGCCCAGGACATGGTTCGACGTCATTCGTTTTCGAGCAGCCGGGGGGCATCGCCAGAGTGGAGGATTGCATCGAGAAGGCGACCTACGAGCTCGCGAAGGAACTCAACAGCGAGGGGCTCGAGATGGCAGGCGCATCGGTACTGTTCATCACGGACCTCAACATGGCGAAGAGGACAACCAGCAGACTCAAGCAGCGCGGAGTCATGATGCGAGCAGCAACAACAAGCATATACCCAGGACTCGACCGAGCAGGCAAAACATGCACGAGGAGAGCAACGCACAGCACGACGAGGATAACATGTTTCAAAAAGCTTGCGGCCATCACCAAGAAGCTCAAAAGGGCGAATACGAGAAGGCAGGTCATCGAGCAGGGGACCATGGCGCAGGTGGGCTACGGCGCGGAGGCGTACGGGGCCAGCCCCGCCGAGCTCATGCCCATCAGCAGGAGGTACGCGAAGGGGCTCAGGAAAGCGTGGCCAGGCAGGTGACTCACTCGCGGACCCAGGAATCACCATCCCGAAGTACCAGATCCATGCGTGGTTCGACTTACGGGCCAGCAGGCCAGACCTACGAGGAGGAGTGAGACGCGCCTGGCCACGAATGCGAGAACGACTGGCAGCAGCACCGAAGATCACGAGATGGCAACGACGAAGAGGGGCGATAGGGGCGCTCATTCTACAGCGAGGAGATCGACTGGGGCGCAAAGACAGCGGACTTATGGGAGGACGCCGAGGGAGGAGATTGCCAGCTGCAGCCTGATGATGACAGCGACGACCCGACGGAGCTGCTGGACGCAATCACCAACGACCTCAAGAAGAAGGCTTGGACGCGCGCCAGCCTGCGCCACAGCGGGGCAGGACTACAACGCGGGGCGGACACCGACTGCCTGAAGATGCAGCTGAAGCGCTTAAGACAGTACGGGAAGCACCAGTTATTCGGACCACTCCTGACGGCAGCCTGCGCGGGAACATGGTCACCACGGAGGAGGAGAGACACCTTCGGCGAGGGCGCGAGCAACCTGTGCGAGCGCGGGGAGGGGGGGGTCGCCGTCGGTTTCCGCGTCATCTGGGGCGGGTGCAGCTGCAGAAGCGACCGCGGCATCTACGGGAAGACCGAGAACTTGGTGCAGCGTGCAGCACCAGGGCCAGAAGGCGGGGCATCATTCTCGTTGAGAGGAATTACGCCAAGACCGTGGACTACGCCGCCGATGCGCGAGACGGGCTGCCCGCCGAAGAGGACGGGCAAGGCGGAGGGCACCGCCGGCGAGGAGACGGGTGAGAAGCTTCTCGCGGCGAGCGGCTGCCTGATCGCATGCGGGGATGGAAGCGGAGGAGCTCGCGGAGACGACGCAAGATACAGGGGGTGCGGATGGAGCTGGGTCAACATGGCGATGGCCGACGGAAGTTGGAGCCGAAGTCTCGAGGCCACTGCCAGGCGCGCGCCAATCAAACAGCTGGGCGGGGACCGCAGCGTTCGTGGGCTGCCTGCAGTCGACGGAAGGCGACCTGATCTTCTGCGCGGACTCGGAGATCCCGTTCAAGGGATGGAACGCCAAGAGGTACCTCATCTCGGGTTACAAGAACGCGCACGGGGACCTTTGTAAAAATATCCGGCTCGCAAACAGGGGAGAAAATAGAGGTTCGGGCACGACGTGTCGAGAACCACATGGCGGAGGAGCAGGCGAGGGAAAGAAGGGTGCCGATGGAGGCATGGCACGGCCAGCGGGCTGATGAACTGGCAGGCGAAGCGGCATCCACCCGCGAAATCTCGGGCGCACAGATGAGCTGCTACGACTGGGCGAGGGCGACCGCGCACATGATCAGAACACGAATAGGACAGGCCTACAAGCAGCAGTTCGAAAAGGAGAAGCCGATGGGTGGGAGGAAAAAAGAAGCCATGCATAATGTGGAGGGGGACGACGCGAAGGTCGCGTTCGACGGGCGGAAGAAAGCACCGCCGCGCATGCTGGTCATCACGGGAAGGACGTTGAAGTGCGCAGCCTGCAACGAGTCCATCTGGGCCAACCAAAGGCCGAGGGCGGCGAGGTGGTAGCTGACGAGGTGCCATGCAGACGGTGCTGGAGACAGAGCTGACTATCGGAAGCATGCAAGCAGATGTCTGGTACTCAAGGGGATGCTATCGCACTCGTCGCACGCCATATGCTGGTCGAGGCACCAGGCCAAGTACTTCTGCTGGCAGCGCGGCGCTACCGCAGAGAAGCACCCGCGCAGCAATGCGGTCAAGACGTGCGAAGGATGGCCAGGCGGGAAAGCTTCGCAGCGCGCGTTGAAGGCCCTGAGGAAGAAGAAGGACTGGACAACCGAGCTCAAAGCGATCAAGAACACAAGAATTGCAGAGAAGCCTCGAGTCAGAACGCAGGGGGGCCTTCCGCCCCGCCGCTGGGTGTAACCTCATCGGCTAACTTGGAAGGTTAGGTCGTGCGTGCCTCGAGTCGGAACGCAGGGGGACATTCCGCCCCGCCGCTGGGTGTAACCTCAGCGGCTAACTTGGAAGGTTACGTCGTGCGTTTTGCTGGCAGTGAAGCCTCGAGTCAGAACGCAGGGGCGCCTTCCGCCCCGCCGCTGACTACAAGCTCAGTGGTTAACACGGGAAATTACGTCGCCAGTTTGGTTGGAAGGCCAGAGGAGATGCGGGCAGGGCGCCAGCAGTACACCGTGGAGAGCGAGACACACCAGGTCAAGATCACGAGCGCGGAGACGAGCAGCGCAGAGCGCGCAAAGGATGAACGCCAGGGCAAGATCACGAACGCGGAGGCGAGCAGCAAGAGGCGCGCGAGGAGCGCCAGCCAGCTCAAATTCATGTACGCGAGGAAGGAGCTGGCGGACGGCTGGCGTGATTTCGAAAGCACCGGGGCCACGGTGGCGCGGGCGGGCGACCAGCAGCGCGCCGCGGGCCCCGGCGGCGCAACGGCGACGGCCCCGAGCGGAGCTCCTGAGTGCAGGGGCTACCGCCAGGCCGATCGCCACCCAGACTGTCGGCAGACTGTTCATAAACGGCGGTTAAAACACATGTGACATTTGGCCTGGGCCCGCGGGGGCCCCCCTGTCGCCGCCGGCGTCTTGCGCGCTCGGCTTCGGCTCCCCCGCGGCCCCCGAACATCCGCGCGCCAAAAGGTCATTCTTACTCAGGGTTGCTCTTGCGCGTGGCCGACCAGACATGGTCGATCGGGATGGGATGTCTGGGGTGTTTTTGGCCCTCTAGAAACCCTCGTCGGGCCTCGGGGGCGTCGAGAAACGACTGGGGGCGTAAACCGGGCCCTGGGGAAAGTGTCGAGACTTCCGAAGACAGCGAGTTGAACAAATCAGGGCGTCGCATGTCTTGGCACTTGGCAGGGGGGGGGCTGCGTCGACCCCAATCGCCCATTCCAGGTCGATGCTTCCCACCCTGTGTCAGTCCCACCTTATCGCTGCCCCTCAGGAGATGGGGGGGAGGGACTCTGTGGAGCAGAGGCGCGAAGAGCTGTATCGTCAGCACCGCCTTCGGCCTCTTGTGGAGAAGCGAGGGTCGGGCTCTCCTTGTGCCTGTCGCGGCCCAGGCCTTCTCCGTCGCCGAGTGCCGCCGAGCTGGCCCCCCGCTCGTTGGAGGCCCCGACGCGCCCCGCGCGCGCGGGCCATGGCCGCCCGCGCGCCCCGTGTGCCCAAGGGCCGCGACGACGGTAGCCCCGAGGCGTGCTGGCCCGGATCGGCGCCATGATGGGCGAGCACCACAGACGCATGGTCGGGGACATCGAGCAGCTGCTCGAGGGCCAGGACAGGCCCCCGCGCCCGCTGCAGCCCAGCGGCCCCGCCGGGCAGGGCTGCGCGGCGGGCCTGGCGAAGGCGGAGGCGCCGCCGACGGCCAGCCCGTCCTGCGGAGCCGCCGGCGCTGCGGCCGGCGAGGGCGGCGCTGCGCCCTCCTCGGCGAGCGCGTCCTGGCCGCGCTCCCCGCGCGGGGGGCAGAGCGCGCAGCCGGTGGCGCTGCTGCTGACCCCGGGCGCGCAGCAGGAGAAGCTGGGGCCGGCAGCGCAGGCGCGCGCGGCCGAGGCTGACAGCCTGAGCTCCAGCGCGAAGAAGATCGCCAGCTCCCGCATTATGGCTGCCAGCGCTTCCCACAAGTTTGTCTTCTCTCTCAGTGCCGCGTCCAAGAATGGGTCGGACTTCTCTTGAATGGTGACCTTCCGCATCGTAATCTTGGGGTTGCATCTCCTTCTCACTGTGCTCTTGGGACTGGTGCCCGTCATGATGCACAGTGGCTGCTCTGCCGCAGCTGACCACTCTCCAAAACATTAGGCCAATCTGCAAGCTCCTTCGGGGTCCAGTCGATACGCCCATGAATTAACCACAGCATCAACAGGTTCCTGAACTGGTCGCCCTCGGGTTTCTGCCAACGCCTGGAGCCAGTGTGCATCACTGGCCACATCCTTCTGCTTCATCGGGTAGGTCCCCCACTGGAGGTGGGCTAGCTCATCGTGATGAAGTCCCCTGGCTCCGCTGCATCGGCGCCATGCTCATCGTTGTTCTGTGTCAGTTTGAGACATCGCTCACGGTCTCGCTGGGCTCGCTTGCGTCCTTTTTCACGGTGGACCGTGTGGGTGTCGATCACACTCTTCACTGGCTGGATGGGCATCTGCACTTTGACCGAAGCTGGTCGAGAGTGCAGTCGCAGGTGAAGCCCCGCGTGCGGGCTCCATGGCACCCCCCTCACTGGTTTGACATCTTTCAAGAACGGTCGAAAGTCTCGCGAGGCAATACCATAATCAATGAGCCTGCCCTTGCCCGTCGTGCAGGTGACGGTGCAATCACTGGGAATCAGCAGCTCTCCTCGTGAAGCTGTCAACCACGGTGAGTTCTGCATATCCGTCGGTGTATTGTTCCAGTCACCTAATGCAATCCATGGTACTCCCAAAGACTTCACCACTCGAGTCAACTGTGCCATCTTGGATACATTGGCTGGATCATCCAGCCCCACACTGCAGTCCAGGCACACCGAGATCAGCGCCAGCGTCGCCCCTTTCAGACGCCAGAGGATGATCGAGATGTCTCGCAGTTCTTTCTGGAATACGCTTTGTCCCGTGCCGTCGGGCAAATGTGCGGACGTGACGTGGCCTGCTCTGGCAAGCCAGCACGTCCCCCCGTGAGTACCTGCGTGCTCCTCTTCGTCGGTGTCGCTGGCGTCCATGCGAACTGCGATTGCCACCCCTTGAATCGCAGCTTCTTGGCCTCCTGCTTGGCGGCCTTGGGTAGCAGGTGGTGCTCCGCCAGGCCTATCATGTCAAGATTGCAGTGCTCCACGTAGCGTCGCACCTTCTCCCCGTAGTGCGTGACGTTTGCGAGCAGCACGTCCATATGGCCACTCTTCATCCTTGTAGGTCTTGACTTTTCTCCGACGAGTTGGCGCTGCTAGGGGCAGGATGCTCCGCAGCTGGCGACGCGCTTGGCCCTGGCACGCATCGCCGCCGTCTGCGAGATGTACAGGTCGACCTCGGCCGCATTAGTGAAGTCCACCGCTGCTGGGTTGGCGATCTCTCGCGCCCGGTCCTTGTCTGCATCTGCTGCCTGGGCCCGGCCACCTTGCCCGCGTCGGCGCTTGATAGATTGGTGCACTGAGCGCAATCGTTCAGCTGCCTCTCGTGCCGCCTTGCCCGCGTCTGTGGCTGACTTGAGCGCGGTGCGAGACTTGTTGTGAGCTGCTGATGCCTCTTCATACTGCTTGCGTGTTGTCCCGTCGAGGGATGCCATCTCTTCTGCTCCCAGCTCTGGGAACTCTTCTTCTTCAGCTTGCTAAGCCTGCTGCGCCTGCCGTGCTTCCGACTGGGGCCCAGCCGCCTGTGTCTTGCCGACGAGCTCATCAATCTCTGCCTGTGTCGCCAAGCACTCGTCGATGTTGGTCCTGAGCTTGGTCTGGAGGTCCTTCTGCGTCTGCGCAGCATGGATGAGTTGGTTATTGAGCCGTCCCTGCTGGGCCTGCAGCTGGCGCAGCTGCTGGGCCTTCTGGGCCAGGCGCTCCTCAGGCGTGGCCTCGGTTGGCGGCTTCCACTGAGTTGCCAGGGACGGGCAGACAACCAAGAGCTTGTCCTGGGTCCCCTGATCTCCGTCGGACTTGGCCTTGCTGAACTTGGGCAGCATGACCTCCAGGATTGGGTCTCGGGCCGATCCACTTCCCTTGAGGCAGGAGCGCAGGGGCGGGCTGCCGCCCTCCTCCTCCCCCAGGTCGAAGGAGACGATCGCGTGGGCTGGATCCTTCCACAGTCGCCCGCACTCTCGGCAACTCTCCCACCCGTTTTGCCTGCTTTGTGCACGAAGACCCAAGAACGAGGGCAATGAGGACACACCAGATATTCATTCTTCCGACCTCGGCTGGCCGATCTCGGGCGATCATGCTTTCCTCCTTTGACCATCCGAGGTCTCACGCGCAACTTTCGCCGCCCCTGCTGGGCGCCCCTCAAGCCGCGGGTGTGCCTGGCCGTCCCGCGCGCGCGGGACACCGACACACGGCACGCGCGCGCGTGTGGGTCGGGGCCTCCCCCCAAGAAGGCCTGACCCACAATGGCTTGAGAGGGGGAGGAGGAGGACCAGGAGGAGGAGGAGGAGGAGGAGGAGGAGGAGGAGGAGGAGGATAATACTGATAAGAATAATAATAAGAAGAAGACCAAGACTAATACTACTAATATTATGAAGAATAAGAATCATAATAAACATGATCAGACTAAGAAGCATAACAACAATACTGGTAATGATAATAATAATAGTAGTAATAATAATAATAATAATAATAATAATAACAACAAGCATAAGCACAATACTAAGAAGAATAACACTACTAAGCGTAATAATCATAAGAGGAGTAGGGGGAGGACATATGCCTCTAAATTCCATTTTCGCAGGCCAATCGAAAATCCAAATTTGGACTTCCCAACCCCAGAGTTGGAACACCTCAATAGCTGGTTTCGGATACCCCGATATCGGGGCTGGAACCCCGGTATTGGACCAAGACCTCAGTATTGAACCCCAAGATTGGGAAAGGTCAATATTTCAACCCAGAGCTAGACCACTCCACTTTTGGCTTGTTCAATAAAGGAGTTTGGGAACTCCAATATTGAAGGTGGGGATTGTTTTTTTTTGAATTCTGGAGTCGAAGCCCCAATTTTTGGGGCCCACCGCCGGTGGAGCTAATGTTTTATCGGGCCCTGGTTCGTTTTCGCGTTTTCTCTGCCCCTGGGTCGTGGTCTCGTTTTCTCGGACCCAGGCTCGTTTTTTCGGACCTTGGTTCGTTTTCTCGTTTTCTCGTTTTCTCGGCCCCTGGGCGTGGTCTCGTTTTCTCGGACCCTGCTTCGTTCCCTCGTTTTCTCAGCACCTGGGTTGTGGTCTCGTTTTCTCTGACCCTGGGTCGTGGTCGTTGTCGGTCGTCGGTCGCGCGTCGTCCGTCGTCCGTCGTCCGTTGTTTTCGCATGACTTCGTCCTTTTCTTGACGACCACAACGAGGTCATACGAAGACGGCGACAATGACGGCGACGGCGGCGACAACGACGACGAGGACGACGACGGCGTCGTACGAAGACGTCGAGCGACGGCGACGGCAACGACGACGGTGACGGGGGAGGATCGTCCGGCAGGGGGAGTTCAAGGGAGGGGGGTGGTAGCTAAGCCGCTTTTCCTCCTTTTGGAAAGGGGGGGTGTAGTTTCCTGCAGGGGAAGTGGAACAATTGAGGAGGGGGGGGCTTCCGCCAGAGGAAGGTCAGGGGAGGGAGGTAGTTGCTATGCTCCGCCTTCCCATTTCGCAAGGTGGGGGAGGGGGGGGGGCTTCCCGGATGCCGAAGGGGGGGGCGGGGGGCTGCTAAGTCCGCCATTCCCTTTGGAAGTAAAGGGAGGGAGGGGGGAAGCTTCCGGCAGAGGAGGGGAGGGGGGGGTAGCCAAGCCCCCCTTCTTTCCTTTTCGTGGGGGGTGCTAAGCCCCCCCCCCCCCCTTTTGGAAGTAAGGGGGGAGGGGGGGAACTCCGGCAGAGGGGGTCAAGGGAAGGGGGTAGCTAAGCACCCCCACCCTTTGCGGAAGGGGGGGAGGGGGGGGGGTAGCTTACCGGGTGCCGAAGGGGGGGGGCTGCTAAGCTAAGCTCTCCCCCCCCTTGGAACCAAAGGGGGGGGGTGGCTTCCGGCAGAGGGGGGTCAAGGGGAGAGGGGGGGTAGCTATGCCCTCCCTTCCTTTTGGTAGGGGGAGGGGGGGTAGCTTCTCAGGTGCCGAAAGTAGGGAGGGGGGGGGCTGCTAAGCTCCCCCCCCCTTTGGAACCAAAGGGGAGGGGGGGGGCAGCTTCCGGCAGGGGGTGGTCAAGGGGAGGGGCGGGGTAGCTAAGCCCCCCCCGTCCCTTTGGAAAGGGAAAGGGGGGGAGGGGGGGGGAGGCTTCGGAGTGGCGAAAGGGGGGGAGGGGGGGGGTAGTTTCAGGGGGGAGGCGAAGAAGGGGGGGAGGGGGAGGGTTTCCAGCAGGGGAGGTGGAAGGGCGGGGGGGGGAGGGTAGCTAAGGGGGACCCGGGGACCCCCCCCCCTTTGCGTCGGCGCTGTGGGCGCGCTCTCTCAAAGATCGGGATGGGATGTTTTGGGTCGTTTTGGCCCTCTAGAAACCCTCGTTGGGCCTTGGGGGCGTAAAAAAAACGATTCAGGATGAAAGCCAGGTCCCAGGGAAAGGGTCGAGACTTCCGAAGACAGCGAGTTGAACAAATCAGGACGTCGCATGTCTGGGCAGGGGGGACTGCATCGACCCCCAATAGCCCATTCCAAGTCGATGCTTCCCACCCTGTGCCAATCCCACCTTATCGCTGCCCCTCAGGAGATGGGGGGGGAGGGGCTCTGTGGAGCAGCGGCGTGACGAGCTGTATCGTCAGCACCGCCTTCGGCCTCTTGTGGAGAAGCGAGGATCGGGCTCTCCTTGTGCCTGTCACGGCTCAGGCCTTCTCCAACGCCCCATCGCCGAGTGCCACCGTGCTGGTCCCCTGCTCGTTGGAGGCCCCGACGCGCCCTGCGCGCGCAGGCCATGGCCGCCCATGTGCCCCGTGTGCCCAAGAGCCACGACGACGGCAGCCCCGAAGCGTACGACGGGCTGCTGGCCCGGATCGGCGCCATGATGGACGAGCACCACAGACGCATGGTCGGGGACATTGAGCAGCTGCTCGAGGGCCAGGACAGGCCCCCGCGCCCGCTGCAGCCCAGCGGCCCCGCCGGGCAGGGCTGCGCGGCGGGCCCGGCGAAGGCAGAGGCGCCGCCGACGGCCAGCCCGTCCAGCGGAGCCGCCGGCGCTGTGGCCGGCGAGGGCGGCGCTGCGCCCTCCTCGGCGAGCGCGTCCTGGCCGCGCTCCCCGCGCGGGGAGCAGAGCGAGCAGCCGGTGGCGCTGCTGCCGGCTCCAGGCGCGCGGCAGAAGAAACTTGAGCCGGCAGCGCAGGCACGCGCGGCCGAGGCCGACGACCTGAGCTCCAGCGCGACGGCGCAGAGGGCCCTGAAGCCCCCCGCGCCGAGGACCCCCCCGAAGACCAAGCTGTCCTTCATGGCGGAGCTGCTGCCGCGGGGCGGGAGCATAGAAGACCTGCCCATCGCCAGGAGACTGTCCAAGGAAAAGGCGGCGGTGTTGACGCCAGCCGGCAAGAGGGTGCTGAACAGAATGAACCACAATCGATCCAAGAAGGAGAAAGAGAACGATGTCGTCGTGGAAGAGGGCCCATTCTTTCACGTGCTCCGCCGAGTTGTGCAGCATCCCGGCTTCGACTTGGGATGCGCTGGCGTCATAATCTCGAACTCCGTGCTGATCGGGTTGGAGGTTGACTGGAAGACCGTCTACGACGGGGAGATGCCGCACATGAAGTATCTGAACTACGCGTGCGCAGTATTTTTTTTGGTCGAGCTCATACTGAGGTTGTCCCTGGATGGCTTCCTGGGATTTTTTGTCCACTCCGAGAACAGGAAATGGAACATGTTCGACAGTGCTCTCGTGACCATGTCCCTTCTAGATGCCCTGTTCATTGACTTCTTCAACCTCGGAGACGACGCCACGGGAGTCTCTGGGGGTCTGAAGACCCTGAAGATGTTGAGGATCGTCAGGATTTGCCGCGTCTTCCGTTTCTTCGCTGAGTTGAACCACTTGGCTGTGATGATCATCGATTCTTTGATGTCGCTAGTGTGGGCATTGGTCATGCTCTTCATCGTTGTGTACGTGTTCGCGATCTTCTTCACCCACGGGGTCACAGATAAAGTACGATCCAGCCGGACCATGACGCCGGCCGAGCTGGAGCTGGACCCCATCGCCCGGCACTTCGGCTCGCTCTGGCAGACGCTCCAGACGTTGTTCCAGTCCATGTTGAACGGTATAAGCTGGCATGTGTTGACGGACGCTCTGAGGGAGGTCCACCCGACGTTGCTAGTGTTGTTCCTGTTTTACATATCTTTCTCCATGATGGCCGTTCTCAATGTTATCACAGGTGAGCGTTTTTTTTTTCCTTCCCTGCGTGACGCTCGTTACCCGGGCCAGACCCCCCCTGCCTCGCGGGGTAACGCCAACGATCGTGCCTTGGGGGGGGGGGGGGGGGGCTGGACCCCCCTGCATGCTGGGTGCGCCCCCCCCCCCCCCCTCCCCGCAGTTGTGGCGCTGTGCTCACAGGCATGGCGTGGTCTGAACGGCACGCCCTGGTGCTCGCAGACGTGCTGTGGCGCTCGCAGGCTCCCTGCGCGCTGCGGCGCCGAGCCCGCAGGCATGGCGTGGTGCTGCCTCTGTGCCGTCCTGGCGTGGAGCGGGGCACGGGCGGAGCGCACGGCAGCGCGAGTGGGCCGCCCGCTGCGGTGAAGCCCTACGTCCTTGAGGACCACAAAGCGATCGGGGGTAGTCACCGAGCGCGTTGCGCTACTCGCAAAGTGCCTGTTCGCAAACGTCCGAAAAAACACGTTCGTCTCGATGTAATTTCTCGTAGATCATCCACGGCTGATCCAGGCCATTTGCGAGTAGTGATTTTGCGAGTAGTGGAACGCGCTTGCCTAGGTAAGTTGCTTTGGGATATGTAGTTGTGGGCGAGGGACGGAAAAAGTAAAACACAGCCAGACCATCGGCGTCGTCGTCGTCGTCGTCGTCGTCGATGGCTCAGCTGCCGCAGGCTGGTTCGACCACCTCTGACTTCTGCCAGCGCTCGGTCGCAATGCGATACAGACGACCCGCCTAATGAGGACGCGCGCCTTCTCCAGGGTACCTTTGTGTCCTTGTCTCTGCGGCCTGTCCTTTGCCGCTTTCATTGGAAATCCCAACTTTGGTTTTTAAGGGTTTTGCGTCTTTATCACCTGTCCTTACTGCACGTAACGATTGTAGACCCAGCGCAATGGAGAAGATAGAGACTGGGCTGCCCCGAGCCTTCTCCTGCAGGCGCTGTTGTGTGCGCGGGCGCTGTGGTTCACGCAGGCAGCGTGATGCACGCTAGCGCTGTGTTGCACACGGCTGCTGCGGTGTACACAGGCGTTGTGGTGTACGCAAGCGCTGTGGTGCACGCAAGCATTGTGGTGTACACCGACGCTGTGTTGCACGCGGCTGCTGTGGTGTACGCAGGAGTTGAGGCGTCCGCAGGCGTTGTGGTCCACGCGTGTAGAATCGTCAGGCGCTCCACTTCCCACAGATATTCTTATAAGACATGTATATGAAACATCTGTCCTCTGTGGAATTCAGAGGCGCCCCAGTTTCCATCGGGGCTTCTTATCAAACAAAAGCTTTCTGTGGAGTCCAGAGGCGCTCCGCTTCTCATAGCGATCCCTTTCGAAACTCTCTCTCTCTCTCTAGTTATATATATATATATGAAGTTTGTGTTCTGTGGAATCCAGAGGCGCGCTCCATTTTCCATAGGTCTTCCTTCAAGAGTCCTATTCTAAACAGTGGTTGTCTGCAGAATCCAGGGGCGTAATCTTATATTCAAGTTTTGCTGTATGTGGAATCCTGAGGTGATCCAGTTTCACGGTGCTCGCGTTCAGGTGCACGCATGCAATGCGGTGTACCCGGTCGCTGTTGCGCACAGCTGCTGCAGTATACACAGGCACTGCGGTGAGCAACGGCGACGTGTTGCTGCAGTGCACGCGGTTGTTGTGGTGTACAGAAGCATTGTGGTGTGTACACAGGTGGCTCTTTGTTGCACGCAGGCATTGGGCATTGTCGTGTACAGAGGGAGCGCGGTGCACACATGCGATTGATGCGCCGGTGGCACGGGCGCACGCTGCGGCCGCCGTTACCGTTACCCTCCCACCCGACCCGCCCCCCGGGTAAAGGCCGTTACCAGGCAAAGAACAAAAACAGTCACTAGGTGTTTTCGTCGACAGTGCCGTGGATGCAGCCAGGACGCAGCGGGAGTATCTCGTTCAAAAGGAGATAGAGCTCAAGGAGAAGTGGTGCCAGGAGATGCGCAGCCTGTTCCACGAGATGGACGCCGACGGCTCCGGGACGGTGTGCCTGTCTGAGGTGAGGTTTTTTTTTAACGACGATCGTCTCAGGTCCTACTTCACTGCGCTCGGGCTTGAGACGCAGGATGCAGAGAGGCTCTTCTTGCTCTTGGACGAGGGCGAGACGGGTGACATCGACATCGACATGTTTCTGAACGGTTGTTTGAGGCTGAAGGGCACCGCGCGCAGCATCGACGTCTACCAGCTGCTGCAGGACAACAGGAAGATGTACAATAGAGTTCTCGACTTGCAGGAGGCCGTCGCCACCGCGCTGAAGGGCGGGAGCGTCGGGCCGTCGGCGCACGCGAAGGGGTCCTGCACGCCCCAGGGCGACGGCTCCAAGCGCAACTCGGAGGTGCAGAGGCGCGACTCCTCAGGATGCAGCATCGTCGTCGAGCAGTTCTAGCGCCTCTGGGGCGAGGCCGCGCCGCGAGGGGGTCGCCCCGGCCACGCCGTGAGGGAGGTGGTCCCGGGGCGCCGCGGCCGACGGGAGCCGCAGCCTTGTCTGGCCGTGCCAGGCCGCTGCGCCGTTTTCCACGCCCGTCTGTCCATGGACCGCGGCACGGAACATGCCGCTGGCAACCTCAGCGCTCGGCGCCAGGCTCGACCTCCTTCACCGAGCGCGTTCCACTACTCGCAAAGTGCCTACTCGCAAATGTCAGCAAAAAACATGTCTTCCTCTACGAATAAGATCGTAAATTCCCCGCGGCGGATCCAGGCCATTTGCGAGTAGTGACTTTGCGAGTAGTGGAACGCGCTGGTCTACTCCTGTGTCTGAGGCGCGCCATCCGGAGGGATGCCCGCCTGTTGTGGAATTCGAGCTGGCTCACCCTTGGTCTCATGCACACCCCTGGCACATGACATCGGATCGGTTGCGCAGTGCCTTCAGCGCCTGGAATGACTTGTCGCTTGGCGTTGCTTGGCGGCGTTTGTTGTCCGGTTCTCTGGTTCTCGCGTTTGGACAGCGCGTGTGCCGACGAGCCGTCGCTGTGCACGCCCGACTGGTACGGCTGTTGCTGCTGGTGATGCTGATTCTGATGCTGGTGCTGATGCTGATGCTGCTGCTGCTGATGAGGAGGAGGAGGAAGAGGAGACGGAGGAGGAGTTGGAGGAGGAGGAGGAGGAGGAGGAGGAGGGAGGAGGAGGAGGAGGACGAGGAGGAGGAGGAAGAGGAGGAGGAGGAGGGAGGAGGGAGGAGGAGGAGGGAGGAGGAGGAGGGAGGAGGAGGGAGGAGGAGGAGGAGGAGGAATGCTATGGAATGCTATGTGTTGGGACAAATGGCCTACCTCAGACCTCGAAGAGAACGAGGGGGGCCCTCGACCGGTGACCCCGCCTCCCGACTCCCGGTAGTGCAGCAAATTGCTGCACGGCACCGAGACCGAGGCTTACTCCTGCTGCAGTGCCTAGCCCTCCATGAAGTCCTGAAGCTTCTCGCCGGGTACCCCGTCGACGATCTTCTCAATGGCCTCGTCATGGGCTTTCTCCACCGCCTCCAGCTGGGTCTGGAGGTTCTGGGCCGCCACCGTCCTCTTCATCACGAAGTCGAAGAGGTCGCATTTCTCCTCGGCAACCTTGGTGGCGCCCTTCTCGTCGCCCTCCGTGTGGTACTTGCTCTCCTTCTTCACCATGTCCTTGTCCCTCTTCTTCTGGTCGCCGTCCTCGAGCTTCGTCTCCAGCTCGCGGCTGTCCTCGTCGGAGCCTGGGCTGCTGCAGGCGGATGCTCGGAGGGCTGCACCTGCACGGCGCCTGCCTCTCTGCCGCCGCTTCGCCTCCTTGCCATCCTTCGGCAGGGCCTCCGCTCCTTCACCAAAGAGCGCGTGCTCGGCCACGTTCCTGACGGCCTTGGTTTCACCCGTGATGCGCAGCGACTCCTCGTCGTGCGCCGCGCGGACCTTCGCCGCGATGGCGGGCTTGATCATCCCGATCCTGGCTGGCGCCTTCGTGTCCCCCGCGGCGCTGGACAGCAACAGGGCGCAGCGGGCCGCACAGGCGGCCGATGAGGCGCAGCAGCAGCCGCAGCCGAGGGAGGAGGGCACCAGGAGGGAGCTGGCGCCCTGCCGGTGGTGCGGCGCGCCAGTGCCAGACACCGACCACATGCTGTGGACCTGCACGGGCCTCCAGGGCAGGCCCTGGCACAGGCCGCGAGACCCGCTTCAAAGGCGGCTCGCCTGGCCCACTGGCGAGAGACGCCGCGCAGACGGGACGGGCGCATCCTCGAGTGGGCGATACACGTCCGGGACGTGGTGCTGAAGGACAGGTATGCGGTGACCGGCGCCAGCGAAGACGAGGAAGGAGGTGGAGGTAGAGGCGACAGCGAGGCCGAGGGCCGACAGGAAGGGCGCCGAGACGCGGGCGACCGCGGCACAGGCGCAGAGCGGCTGCGACCGCGAGGAGGAGGGACAGGAGATGGAGAGGAGGAGGGAAAGGCGCCCACTGCGCAAGCCAGGAGGGAGGTCAGGGAGGAGGAGGGAAGAGGCCCCGCCGCAGAAGCCGGGAGGAGGGGGCCGAGGAGGAAGAAGAGGAGGGAAGGGCGCACAACAGCGCCGAGCAGCGTCTCCGCCATCGCATCGGACATGGGAGGAGAGGTACCGTGGCCAGCACAACCAGGGGCGGCAGGCTCTTGAGCCAAAATGGCTTGAGCCAAAATGGCTACGGAAGGAGGAGGAGGAGGAGGAGGAGGAGGGGAGGAGGAGGAGGAGGAGGAGGAGGAGGAGGAGGAGGAGGAGGAGGGAGGAGGGGGAGGGGAGGGGGGGGGGAGGGGGAGGCGGCAGGGGGGGGAGGAGGGGGAGGAGGAGGAGGAGGAGGAGGAGGAGGAGGAGGAGGAGGAGGAGGAGGAGGAGGAGGAGGAGGAGGAGGAGGAGGAGGAGGGGAGGAGGACAAGCTAGGTGCGCTCGCGTCATATCTGACGTCATACCCCTCCCTCCCATCCCTTACCATGGCGCTGATTTTCTCTATCCGCGGACGCGTGTCGTAGCGGACCTGTGGCTCCGCGCGCGCGTGCGTAGCGGGTGGTGGTGCACGTGCGTGCGTGCGTGCGTGCGGTGTGCGTGGTTGTCGTGGTGGTGGTGGTGGTGGTGTGGTGGTGGTGGTGGTGGTGGTGGTGGTGGTGCTGGTGGTGTGCTGGTGGTGCTGGTGGTGCTGGTGGTGCTGGTGCTGGTGCTGGTTGGTGTACTGGTGGTGGTGCTGGTGGTGGTGGTGGTGGTGGTGGTGGTGGTGGTGGTGGTGGTGGTGGTGGCGGTGCGGCGCGGTGGTGGCGGGCGGATGGGCGCGCGAGAAAAAGGCCCGCGCTGGGGCGAGAACGCCATCCTGAACGACGGAGGCCAAACACCGATCCGAAAATGAGGCCCACGCTGCAGCGGGAGCACGATTCGGAACGATTCGGGAGCAGAAATGAGGCCGGCGCCTCAACGAGAGCAGCATTTTGGGAAAAAATGACGCCAGCGCCTCAGCGAGAGTCGTTTCCCGGGATTTCCCGGGCATCCTGTGTGTAAAAAAACAGTACGCGGAGGGTGCGCGGCCATCACCCGGACGCCATCAGGGGAAGAGGGAGAGTATTTTCTATTGAGTAATTGTGGAGGAGGAGAGGAGGAGGAGGAAGGCGGAGGAGGAGGAGGAGGAGGAGGAGGAGGGGAGCGGAGGAATATGAGGAGTTGGTTTACTGGTGTGTTGGTTGATTGGTGCACGACGGTGGAGGTACGTTTGGACCCCTCCCTGCAGCCGTCTTCGTTGGCCGAGGGGCTGCAGGGAAGTCCTCGGCCCCCTCCGTTGGCTATTGACGCCGTGAAGTATTGGTGTATTGGTGTATTGGTGGGAGAGGGCGACCCCAACGGCCCCTATGATGGCAGCCGCAGGGGGTGTGAGGCCTACGATGGTCCTCACTGGTGAGGCCTATGATGGCCCTCACCGGGGTGGGGGTGGGGGGAAAAGGCAGAAAGTCGAAGCGGATGTCCGGCAGCAACGTCCTGGGGGGATACCTGAAAAAGGGGACTTAAAAACAACGTCTGTCCTCCGCCTATGTTCTAGAGGAGCCCCGTTCAAAAAGCAGAGGCAGAGAGAGAGAGAGAGAAGGAGGAGGAGGCGGGGGAGGAGGAGGGGGGAGAGAGGGGGGGAGGAGGAGGAGGGCGAGCAGAAATGCCAGAGACCTCTTGAATGCCTCTCGGAGTCTTTTCGGATGTCCTGTGAGAGTTTTTTGGGTTCCTCTTGGAGGTCCTGAGGGCCTTTTGGAGCGTCTTGGGTGCCTCGGGGGCGCCTCCTGGGGCCTCGTGGGGATTTCTTTGGAGACTCTTTCAGCCCTCTTAGGGGCCTTTGGGGCTTCCTGGGCGCCTCTTCTAGCCCTCTTGGGTCCATATTGGGGGAGTTCGATGAAGCAATGGGGGGGCGGTCAATTAACCCCCCCCCTATGCAGTTCCCAAGGCCGCCTCTCAGGATTATCTTGGGATGTTAGTTGGGCGCTCTTGGGCGCTCTTGGGGACGTCTTGCGACCTTCTTGGGCTCCTCGTGGGGCTCTCTTGGGCCGCCTTGGGGCCACCTTGAAGCGCTGTCGACAGCAAAAAGGCGGGAATGCAACACACATTGACGTCAGGCTTTTGATTGGCCCTCCTTGGTGGATTAATTAAGATGTTCCGTGGCCGCTCAGACACGCAGCGTGCCTTCAAGCTGCGAGCCCCCCAAAAAGGGAGCAACAACACACATGTTTATTGTCAGGGATCGTAGGCCTGCGCGCAGCAGGCAGTATACTGTCCACCATACCGTCCGTGGCAAAGTGATATGTTATGATATGATATGATATGGTATGATATGATATGTTGTGGTATGTTATGATATGATATGGTCTGACATGTCATGTTATGAAATGATATGACACGTTATGATATGCTATGATATGACATGATATGATATACGATGAAATGTTATGATATGTTATGATATGATATGATGTGATATGTTGTGATATGAGATGGTCTGATATGACATGATATAATTTGATATGATATGACACGATATGATATGATATGGTATCTTATGGTATGATATGGTATGCTACGATATGTTATGATATGATATGATATGATGTGACATGATATGTTATGATGTGAGATGATATGACAGTTTAGGACATGATATGATATGATATGACATGATATGATATGATATGATATGAAATGTTATGATATGATATGATATGATGTGCTATGCTATGAAATGATATGGTTCGGCATGCTATGATATGATATGAAATGATCTGACATGTTATGATATGTTATGATATGATATGGTATTGTATGTTATGCTATGATATGGTATGTCACGAAATGATATGCTATGATATGATCCGATATGATATGTTATGATATGCTATGACATGCTATGCTATGATATGATATGTTATGATATGGCATGTCATATATATATATATACATATACATATACACACACATACATACATACAACATACATTATATATATATATATATATATATTATATTATATATCTATATATAATATATATATATATATATAATATATATATATATATATATATATATATATATGCATATATCATGGGGGCGAGGTCGGGGGCCCCAGGACAGGTGCCCCGACCCCCCATGAGGGGACGGGGGGGGCCTGGAGCCTCCCTGGAGCAGCCCAGGCGGCCCAAGAGTGCCCCAAGAGCGCTCCAGGACAGGCCCAGCAGGCTCCAAGAGGCCCAAGAGGGCGCCAAGAGGGCCCCAAGATGCCCAAGATAAGCCCAAGACGGCCAAAGAGGCCCCCAAGACGCTCCAAGAGGCCTCCAAGAGGCCCCCCCAGAGGGCCCCAAGAGGCCAAAATCGTTAATTTTACGAAGGTTTTGGACACATTTTGCCTTTCCCGCCTTCTCAGCTTTCCGACGCTCCACGACGGCTCACAGGCCCCCCGCGGACGCCCCAAGACAGCCCAAGAGGCCTCCAAGAGGGGCTTGAGACCGCTCTGGAGGGCCCCAAGACGGCCCAAGACGCGCCCAAGACGGGCGAAGAGAGGCCCAAGACGGCCCCAAGAGGGCTCCAAGAGGGGAACCGCGAACCGGAAATTCGAGCCTCCCGCTTCCACAGGGCCCCGGGAGGCCCCAAAGGGGCCCCAAGAGGCCCCTCGAGACCCCCCAGAGGCACCCAGGAGGCCCGAACGAGGCTTCAAGAGGCTCCCAAACAGCCCCGAGGAACCTTACAACGGACGGTGCGGACGAGCCGCATTTCGGACCGCCGCCGCCGCTGGTCCAAGAAAACGGCCTCCTCGACGCCATGCGCGCCGTGGCCCTCCTGTGGCACCTCCCGCCCCGGGCCAGCGCAGAGGCCCTCGGATCCCAGAGAGAATTCTCCTTCGTCGGCGGTGTCGCCGTCGTCGGCGTCGTCGTCGTCGACGCCGCCCCTGCCCCGGTCACCCCTCGGGTCTTGGGCCGTCTTGGGCGGTTTGGGGGGATGTCTGCGGACCATATTCGGCTGCCTGGGGGCCTCTTGGAGGCCTCTTGGGGGCCTGTGGGGGGGCCCTTGGAGCATTCTGGATGCTTTGGGGGGCCTTTTTGGGGTCTCCTAGGGCTCTCTTTGGGGAGGAAGGCTGGAAATGTCAGGTCGGGTACCCCTGTGAGTTCTTTCTGGGAGCGGTCCTGGGGCCTTCTTGGGCTGTCTTCGGGGCCTCTAGGTCACTCCTGAACCCTACTTGAGCCGTCTTGGGGCCCTCTTGGAATTCTCTTTGGCCGTCTGGTGCGATCTTGGGGCCCTCTGGGACCCTCTTTGGCTGTCTTGGCGCGAGCTTGGAGGCCTCTGGGCGAATCTTATAAACATGTACGTTTTCCGAAGGGAGTGTGGTCATTTTTGCTTCTGCGGGCCCTCTTGGGAGTCCTCTTGGATGCCTCTTGGGCCGTCTTGGGCGGTTTGGGGGGCTGTCTGCGGACTATCTTCGGCTTCCTGGGGGCCTCTTGGAGGCCTCTTGGGGGCCTGTGGGGGGCCTCTTGGAGCATTCTGGATGCTTTGGGGGGCCTTCTTGGGGTCTCCTAGGGCTTTCTTTGGGGAGGAAGGCTGGAAATGTCAGGTCGGGTACCCCTGTGAGCCCTTTCTGGGAGCGG